CATGCTCACGGCTGATTTTCTGATCATGACATCAAACTTGAAACAGTCTTTCAATGCCACCAAGGCTGAACCTAATTTTCAACTTTTCAGGTTTAATGGATTCCAAATTAACAATTTCTGGTACATGGAAATTTTATCTGTTTGGCATTCTTTTTCTTTCCTTCTAGTAACAAAATCCCTCCTTTTTTTTCACAGGGAACCTCCTCTATGTGATGCTGGTGGGATCTGCCCTCTTATGGGACACAGGAACATGCCTGAATCAAAGAGATACTGGCCACACTGATTCAGACAGGCAACCATCAATCAAGATGACTCCTTGGTATTATTGTTATGACTATGGCAAAGAGTTGCTTTTCACTGGGGTTTAAAGCTATGAGAATGGTGGCTGCTGCTGACAGGTACCTCTGCCACTGTGATGAGGGACAGCAAATATGAGAACACAGCTGATGAAGTTAAACAGAAGAGCAGGGGAGAGAGAACAGAATGGCCCGATTATATCTCTTGAGCCACTGAATAGTTGTGCCTAAAGCCAGGGCAGCATGAACACACCAGTCACCTAAGTCAAAAAACAAGCTTAAGCTGGAGTTTATCCATTACAACCAAAATAATTCAAACTAATAAGCCTGATCTAAAGGAAAATAAAGTCCTGAAGGAAATTCCCCTTCATAGATAGTCCTTTTGGAATTCTGGACTTCTCTCTGAAAATAAACCTGACTTAATTAAAATTCCTTCTTCCTATGACATTACTGCAAAAAGTCCAGGCTAACCATATACCACCCTCTGCACCAACGGTTCATCTTAACAGTGCTGCCTCCAAGTAGATGCCACCTTCCGCAATGTATATGAAAGTCAGTCCTAGAGAAGAGACCTTGCAGTGGGCAATGGTAGCACAGTTTATAGCTGATTACCCTCAAAACACACTTGCAGTCAAGTCCCACAAGCTTCTCAAACTGCCCTCAAGAGGTACTGAACACGTCAGTGTAAGAAATGGCCTAGAGTTGTGGGGTCCAAAAACAAGGATACATATGGTGCAAAGGAAGAAGGTTGTACAGGTCAAAACACACAGAGGCAGTGTCAACTCTGCATGGAGAAGCCATTCTGCAAATGGCAGCATAAGCTAGAAGAATCGGGAGTTGCGAGAAACAGAAGGCCCAGAGTATTGTCAGGAAGGTTGTCTATTATTCTTTTGGAATAAGGATAGTAAGTGAAATGTCAACCCAGGTGCCAAACCTGGACCACAGCCAAGTGCCAAGGTTTGGCATCAAGTGTGATGACAATCTGTGAAGTCTATCAGAAGCAGGACAGAGAAAGCAGGGATATGAATATATGAACTTGTTATTCTAATTGAAATTATTAAGTTTTGTCCTGGGGTTAAGCAAGGCCAGTGGAGAAACATACAGCTGGCCTGGAAGTTTCTCCTGCACTATACTTGAGTGTCACATCAATTGTCTCCACTGAGAGCAGGCCTAATTATTCTCCCTACTGTAGGGACTCTGTGTTACCCTTTGCACTATCATGTTTATGAGCATTCTGTAGAATCTCCTGGAGTCTTAAATCACAATTAACCTTGCTTCTTGTGAGTAATGAGTGTGCTTTTTCTCTCCTCCTAGCCACTATAAATTGCTAATTGTGTGAGTTCTCCTTTTGGTACTGACTGTGCAGAAGACCAGGGACAAGACTGGGACTTGCTACCAAATGAAGAGGCTCCCATCACATACTGGGACCTAATTTTATTTCTGACTTCATCCTACTTGTTTTTCCCCATACATTTCCTTCCTTATTTATTTTTCTGAATCTCATTACGTTATATGACTATTTAAAAGACACCTGAAAAATCTTTGGCAGAGGACAGGCACATAGTCTAGATCAATGGCAATCAAAATGTAAAACACACGGAGTCACAAACACGAGTGGAGGACAATTTCACAAACGCTATTATGGAGGTCATTAGAGGGAAGCTCCAACTCAGCAGTCTGAGGGTGGTGGGCCAGGTATATCCCTCAGCCAAACTGCCATGTCAGCAAACATCCTAGTCCTCTCCTCCTCTTCCTGCTCTCTGGCTTATCGCCTGCATGCTCCACCCTTGCTTGGGTAGCTGGGCACTCTCAGGTGCATCCCCAGGCACCCATACCTACCCTCTCTTCTGGGTTGCCCTCCCTTTCTTAAGTCCTCCACTAAATCAAAGGTCTCACACCTCTGTAGGACCTTGTACTTGCCTGTAAGTTGTCAATGACCGATACAAAAAAAAAGCCCTTCCTTTCTCAGGAACCAGTACATTTTAACAAGGAATTTTGAAGAGTTAAAAAAACCACTGGAATAATTCACTAATGGTGAATACACTGTAAAAAATGGTATAGATGCAAGTGAACAGGGCAATTTGCCTGTATATCTCAAGTAATCTATGTATAGCTGTTAGACCAGTACCTGACATACTGTCAATGCTCAGTACACAGAAGAATAATTATTACTACTGCTGCTTTGATTATTAATCCCACCATTCCCTCCGTTACCACTCAACCACTCTGCCTATTCCTACACTTCCAGCATGCATGTAACTGTCTTTTTCTTAACACTGGCTAGAGATCCACAATCAACTAATGCTATGTTAATTACATTTTATGGTTTATAAAGCATTTTATATACATTGTACTTTTTGATCTTCCTAGTAATCATCAAGCTAAATATTATTCCCATTTTGTAGCTGGGGAAACTGGGAGGTTGATTTGTAAGCTCAGGGAGGTTGACTTGTAAGGTCCTAGAACCAGGCTCAAAGCCAGGTTTTGCATAAATTTCTTGTTTTCCCCATAACAAGCTGCCAACCGCACAGCATCACATCAGAATTATGTGAGGGCTTTAAGATTCCTGGGGTCCACTTAACAAATGTGGATGACCCAGAGGAAGGACTATGAGTCTATATATTTCAACAGGTGCCCCATGTGATTCTGATGAGCTGCTGGTCCATGGTGCTTCTGGCTGACTGTGTACCTGCTGAAGTCTCAGTTCTGTGCGAGGTATCACGAGGAAGACACACGTGACCTTCTTGAAGAACTAACAAAGCAACTGAGGAAGTAAGACTAGCCAAGGTAAAAGAAGAGTGAACCACTGATGATAAGGCTCAGTTCTGAAAGAGGTCAGAGTGAATGAGATCATAGACGTCAGGAGTAAGACCGCATTACAGAGGAGGGAAGATTCTACGGGGCCTCACAAAATGGGAAGGATTTCTAAGTGGAGAAAGAATAATCAAAATGAGATGCCCTCAAGAGAGATGATGAACAGATTAGTCTGGCAAGAATAAAGGGGCCGGTAGGAGGTGAGCAACAGAGTGGAGAAGCCAGAGAGAGGAGCCCAGGTTGGTGTGATGAATGGCAAGGAGAAAGGCAGGGATGGCTTCTGAGCACAGGAACATTTTAAAATATAAACTGAAGGACAACTGGTGTGGCAGTACTATGCAGAATGAAGGGAGGCCTGAAGGGTAAACACCTGGATTGGGAGGATCACCTAGGAACCTGCTGAACTGACTGTGTGCCAGATGGCAAACGATAAGATGGGTTATAGGGCACGGACCACCAGAATGAGAAGGGATGGGCTGGGAGACAGGAGTCTAACCTGAGACCTCTCTCTGTCTATGTGCTTCTAAATTTTACAAAGCTGTTTTCATATGACACAGAAACATGATGGTAGGTGGCAAAAGTGACTACAGTTTTCTTCTCCTCCCTGCAACCAGGCTCCTTGCATTGTGATTCTGCACAACTCTCATCAAAAGGAGAGCCTATAGCTACAGCTATTGAATCCAGGCTAGACACAGAGCTTGCTTCAGCAAACAGAAAGCCTCAGAAGCACTGCGGTGCCTGTTCTGAACCTCAGCCTCAAGATATATGTGCCTGTCTCTCAACACCCTGCCCAATCACCAACTGAGCAAACTAAGAGTATCGTGAAGGGCGATGAGGCAGGTGGTTTAGCCATTTTTATCACTTCAGCTGGGTTTCAATGTGAATCCCAGAAACAAAGGCTGGCTGACCTGGACCTGACACAAGAGTTTTTAGCTGAAATCAGACAAATCACAACTGAGTCCAGCCCAAATCAATAACCAGCCACAGAATTAGGAGATACATAAATGACTGCTATTTTGAGTAAGTAAATTTTGGGGTGGTTTGTTATGCAACAAAAACTAACTCATATACACCATAGTAGTACAGCTGTATTATCAGGAACTGATGCCCCAAGAAGCCCCCAAAACTTCTCCACTTAAAAAGCACATTAATAGCCGGGCATGTTGGTGCATGTCTGTAATCACAGTGGCTCAGGAGGCTGAGGCAGGAGGATTGCAAGTTCAAAGTCAGCCTCAGCAAAAGTGAGGCGGTTAAGCAACCCAGTAAGACCCTGTCTCTAAATAAAATACAAAATGAGGTTGGGGATGTGATTCAGGGGTCAAGTACCTTGAGTTCAATCCCTGGTATCCCTCCCCGCCATTACTTTCCTAGCTCTAAAGGATGTTTTCTACCACTGTCAAACTTTTAACACAACAATCACATTTAGGTGAGATGATAGATGATTAAAAAAAAAAAAAAGCAATAGGAGTACAGCCCTAATATCTATCTTGGAGCTTGTGAGCCAATTTTCATTACAACACACTGCAAGGAACTGTCTGAATTCCTTGGCTAAAGAAACACTTTATTATTTTGGATACTGCTTGAAATAAGCAGACCATCAACAGACGCCTGGAAATAGTTTCATTACCAAAAGAAAAAAAAAAGTCTTTATTTTAATGGTATTTGGCATACTCATGAATCTCTTTCCTGCCCATGTTCTTAGCAAAAGAACATGGGTTGCTGTTTAAGGCAAGAAAACATTGTAAATCATTTGGGAAAGAAAAAAAACGTGCAAATAAATAGACATCTAGTCATAGTACTGGTTGGGATCCTTCTAACTTAGAAGTGTGAATGCCATTTCAAAAATAATGTCATATGGTCACTTAGTTTTAATAATGAAAGAGAACTTACCAGTAAGAACTTGTGTGGTCCAATGTTTTCAGGTTTTTAATGGTAGGACGAATCTGAAATAGAATTAAACAAAACATTCCATAAGTCAGTCACACTTGGAAAGAGTGAGCTTTCAATCCCAAGTGACTGCCATGATTTTGAGTATTTATTCTTTTAGTTAAAGATTAACAAAGCTTTTTCTGGCTCTAAATGGAATAGGGAGTGTTTTTTCGCCTACGTATTTCAACTTCCTGAACAGAGAGCATTCTCTCATCTACTTCAGGGAGTGCTGGAAGTCTGAGGCCGTATAACTATAAATGGTAGTGTTTTCATCCAAACCCCTCCAAGTCAGTGAAATCCTTACTGCTGCTCTTGCCTTGGTCCCTCAGCTGCCTTCGGCTAAGACCAAGACATGGCTACCTCTGTGGAACCAACCAACCAACTACTGGTCCACACCAGGCTTTCCAATGGTGGCCACCTGATCATGTAAAAACACACAAGGTTGTGTCTTATTGGTAACAGTGAACTTCAGGTAGTGCTGCTCAACAGAAATAATAATGCCAGCCACATATACAATACGAAATGTTCCAGCTGCCACATTAAATAAAAGAAACAGGTGAAATTAATTTTAATAACATATTTGATACAGCTTAATTTATCCAGAATATTATCATTTCAACATATAACCAATATAAAAATTGAGATATTTTACATCTTTTTTTTCAATAAATTTTACTGTGTATATTTTAGGTTTAGAACGTTTCATGTGATATAGATAGTAAGATGGTTAGTATTGTGAAGATGATTGACATTTCTATTATCTCACATACTTTGTGACAAGAGTAGCAAAAAATCTTACTTAATAAAAGTCCCCAATACAATGGGATTTTGTCACCTGCAGTCCTCATGTTCTACATTACATCTCTAGACTTGCTCTTCCTGCAAATCTGCTACCTTATGCATATCTGCTACATCTCCCCACATCCTCCCCTGCCTCTATTTTGCATACCAAATCTTTAAGAACCAGTCCATCTTGACTGAGGCTGGCCACTCAGGCTAGTAGCTCCACACTAGACAGCATAAGTTTAGGGAATATGTTCTTGGCCTTCAGGTACTGGGCAAGGCTCCAAAGCAAATCCAGCACACATGGAGATTTTATTCACCTGTTTTCCTTCTCCTAGTAATCCATCATTACCCCATTTTATGGTGTCATTTTAATAAAAGTCATAAAGCAGTGACAGCAAATACTTATACAGCACTCCTACATGCCAGGGCCTGTTCTTGTTCCTGTTACCTCAGTTAATCCTCACAAAAACTTATGAAGTACATCATCATTCCCACTTTGTGCTGAGGAAACTGAGGCACACAGAGATTAAGTCCCTTACCCGAGGTTATAAGGTGGTAACAGAGTCTCCCTCTAGAGCATACTCATAGCCACTATGCACTCAATTAAATTTGAACAGCTCAAAATAAGATCATTACTTTCAGTTTTAATTATAACCATCAACTGATCCAAAGTCTGCTCTCATGATAACACGGTTAGATAACAGCAGTGACAGTAGATGGAAGAGGTACTGGCTGTGCTGGCAAATTAAATTAAAAACCAACCTGGAGTGGGAGCATGAAAACCACAGGTAGGCCTGGGGTCAGACAGATTGTGATAGACGACGGGGCCTGTTTGGATGACTAGGGTAGAAGGAGGGAGCGTAAGGTATGCTCTCTAGAAACACTTGTCTTTGTGGCCTGTCAGAGGGAAGGGCCTATACCTTTCATTAGACTCTCCAAGGGGTCTGAAAAATAGCAACCCCTGCATTAGTCTCAGCAGTTCAGGCAGAAGAATCAAGTGGACAAGAATTAAGAAAACACATCCTGTGTGCTAGGTGCTGTGTCCCATGCTTATAGTTTCAGTGACTCAGAAGATTGAAACAGCAGGATTCCAAGTTCAAGGTCAGCCTGGGCAACTCAGAGAGATCCTGTCTCAAAATAAAAAGGGCTGGGGTGTAGCTCAGTGTGTCCCTGGGTTCAATTCTCAGTACATAAAACAAAAAAAGCAAATATATCCTCTTTCACCTTATTAATCCACAGGCCTCCCTCAACCCCCAAAATCAAACTCAGTGAGCAAACTCAGATCCACACAGGCACTCCATGCCTAAATCATACTGGAAGGAGGTTGGTCAATTGGTCAGTGATTGATGCTGCAGAATCACAGGCCATGAGCTCAGCATGCTGCAGAATATTGCCACCCAGCTCATACAGTGAGCAATGAACCTGATGAAAACCCCTCCATGGCCTCCTCTGGGCTTTAGAGTCCAATCCAAGCTCCTCGACCTGTCTAAAAAAGTTCCCATGACCTCGTGCCTGCCCCACATTGAAGCGCTCCTCATGGGTATCTTGGCCACCTAGAATCATTAACAGGGTTCTAAACGCCCCCCACCCCCCATCCTCCTCGGAGTCTTTGAGGATTCTGTTCTTTCTGTCAAATGTCCTTTCTCTATAGCATCAGGTTACCTTCATGCTTTGGTTCAAAAGTTACCACCCCTGGGAAGCCTTGTGAACTACCCAGTTGGCCTAGGGACAACCTTGTGGTAACGGAAGCAAGTAGTATTCATTCAGTTCAGTTGACAGTTGTGTGGTACTACTGCTGATAACAATAAAAGCTGGTCTTTATGGAGCTATGTCTAAGCTTTACAAACTCCTTTAATCCTTTTAGAAATCCTATGAAGTAGATTTTATTGCTCCATTTAGCAGGTGAGCAAACTGAGGTACAGAAGTTAATTCAGTAGCCTACAGTCATAGGCTTATAAGTGGCAGGGCCAGATCATGAGCCCAGACAGTTTGGTTCAGAGCCTGCACTCTTCATAGCTATATTGTACTTGCCATCAACTAGGTTCCACAGCTTCTATACTACTTGCCCTCATGCTTCCTGTTATTTCAAGTAATTCTTATGTTTCAGTTTTTCATGTACTGGTTTCTCTGCTCACTTATTTATAGAATCCCTGATGGTTGAGAATCATTCTTTTAACTCACCTTTGTCTCTCCAAGACCTAGCAAAGTGTTTAGTGTATAGTAGATGCTCAATAAAGGTGCACACAGGGAAACACTGGAACAGCACAGGAAGGATGGGAGACAGGGCTACAAACTGGGCTGAATAAAAACACACCATGGGGGCTGGCATTGTGGCTCAGTGGTAGCACGCTCACCTAGCAAGCGTGAGGCCCTGGGTTCGATCCTCAGCATCACATACAAACAAATAAAGATATTGTGTCCAACTACAACAAAAAGAATATAAAAAAATAAAGGTTTAAGGTTGCTTTTTTTTTAAAAAAAAAAACAAAAACACCAGGGTAAAGAGCCTCTGAATGTGAACTTTAACAAACAAGACTTAACCTCATCTTTTAAACGCAGCCATTGCCAAGGAGATAATCACCCAGTAATGAAGGAAAAAGAAGTAACTCAAAGCTTGTCAGACTTGATCATGTCTTTACTGAGTTCATCAGCTCATTCTACTTTGCATGGAGATCTTAAGTAATAGCATGCCAATGGTTCTGGCTGGTCAGAGTGGGAGAACGCCAGAAAAGACACATATTGAAAAATCTCCTTTGGCTGCCTGGACATGGCTTGGACATCTCTGCTCTAATATTCTATGGTATGTTTCTTTCCATTACTTTCTAAATTCCTCTTAGATGACTATGAAAAGTGACCTTGTAGGAGGACACTCTTCTCTTTCTCTAAATAGTGGAAAAGACAAAAGTTTCAAGATCTGGGACAGATAAAGACCTTGAGAGAGAGAGAAGAGCACCTTCTAGCTCACATCAGAGATTGTATACCAAGGCTGTAGCCAAGTCCACCTCTCACAGATACATGAAATCAGTCATAACATTCACTATTCCATGGCCTCCAGAATATAAGATACCATGCATCCAGACTATAAGATATCCATGCGCTAGTTTCTTGTATACATGGATATCAGCATCATCTTGTCATTAACAATCAAATTCTAAATCTATAGTTTGACTCTAGCTAGCTCATCTCCTTCCCTGATGGTGATAAATAACAACATTAATTTGCTAGTATTGAGAGCTTTACTGAATGCAAATAACGTGCTGTGCACAGTGTAGATGTTGGAGATACAACAGTGAATAAGGTTAAAAAATTGGTTTTCTTTTTGCTTAAGCAACTGGGTCAATGATGACTTCACTTGCTCAAGAAGAGAAACAGGTTGAGTGAGGAAGAAAATCTAGAACTCTGATTTGACCTGGTTAACTCTGAGACATCCAAGGGGAGATGACCAGGAAGCACTAAGAAGTCTAGAACTGTACTGTCCAATAGAGAGTAGTACCTCTGGTTATTTAAATTTAAATTGAGTACAATTAAAAACTCACTTCCTCATTTACATGAGCCACATTTCAAGTGGTCAAGTAGCCACTGAAGAGGCTAGAATAGGCTAGAATGTAGAGTGACATAGGTTTTTTTCCATCATTGTAAAAGTTCTACTAACCAGGGCTTATCTATAACATACATGACAACCTTTTGGATTCCTTTATTACTATAAAGTTTACTGAACTATAAAATTGGAGCCCTGGAAGATCTTAGTTTACATGGCAATTGGATTCTGATTTGCTTGAATATATTTGTTTCAAATCTAACTTAAATTCTCAAGGACAATAGACACTGTAGGCAGAAGTGCATGAACACTGGATCAACAGACCTTGCTTCTGGCTTGTCTTCTCTACCAGGGCAAGTAATTTAATTTATGTGTGCTTCCATTTCCCCACCAACAAAGTCAAGAGTGACCCTGAATGGACTCTGTGGAGATGCTGGAGAATGTTTCCAACTCTGGAGATACCTCCACTGTCAGGTCTATTTGTTTTCACACGTAAATTCTGATATAATGTTATTTCAAATGGCAAAACAGTTGTAAAAGGGGTTTTGATGCACATAAAGAACCCTACTGTAGTAATAAATGATATATGCTCCACCAAGGTGAGATCAAGCTGAAAAAAAAGAAAAAGAAAAACCAAACTTATACTTAAGTCTATCAGAGAAATCTAATATTAGCTGTTGGCAAGTATAA